AATAAAAAATAATTATTTTTAATAAATATGATAAAATGTCTACAAATCTTAATCATTGAAAATAAAAAGATAAATAATTGAAATTTTATATAAATATAATGTGTAAAATTTATATATACATGGATTCCTACTCTACTACATATATATTATATATTTTTTAAATATTAAAACCCCAAAAAACCTATAGCTACAACAACAACACCACACTCTTAAATGAAGCATAAAGCACTCTCGTTACTTCTAAAGCCTTCATTAGGCTTAAACCGCCTAAGTGCCTTCTAACTATTTATTTTTGAGACAAATAATTATCCCCATCAAACATGATATGTGAAAAGGTTTCATGTTGTGCTGCAAATGCCACTTTTCTTTAGGTTATTTTTATCCCTATATGGTATGCGGAAAGGGTAATTGAAATGCCTATATGATGTATTGAAGCACCTTGTTGATCTTCTCGTTGCACTATAACAAGATCAACCACTAAACCTTCTTTGAAAATGCAACAAAACAATAGTTTTTGTAAAAGGATTTTTGTAGCAACGATAGCACAAAAAAAGGTTGTTTTTATTTTGATAATGATAGGGATTTGTTTTTGTGTTTTAGAGGGGAAGAAAATGATGAGATAACTCTATTTTGTAGAGGTAAGATGTCGGTTGGCAAGAGATGCTCATTCTCATCTCTTTATTAATTGAAATATTGGAATTTTAATTTGACTCTAAGTCCTTGTGTTTCCTCAAAAACCCTAAAACAACACCACGCATGACAAATCTAGATGTGGGGCATGTCACTTGCTTTACTGTAAAATAAGAAAGTAAGATTTTCCCAATGATTCTTTCTTTTGACATGGTTGACCTCTATTAGGATGGTTGGAAGAATGTTGGTTTAAAGTTGAGTTTTGCACCTTTAGGCAAATTTGCAGAAGGGAGGGATGCTTTCCTACAAAATGGGTTATTGATTTGCCTTGGACAACTCCAAGGACTTTAAAACACCACTATAAACTTAAAGCTTACAGATCCATAATAAATGAAATGAGCAAAGTTAATGAGTGCTCATCTAAATTTACTAATAGATTTGACTATCGAATTACTGACAGATTAAACTAAATTGTTGCAAAACTGGAAAAGTAAATAGGGTTGAAGCTAGAGTAAAGCTAATTAATCATGATGATTAGGCAAAGAAGATTGAAATTAACATGAACATGAATGAAAAGCTTGAAAGCCATATAAGTTGACATTTGAAGAAATGACACTTATCTTAAAATTACTAAATAAACAAACAAATTGTTGTAGAAGCTAGAACTAACCTAAATCTAATTAATTGGAAGTTGTGTTAAAACTAAAAAGAGCTATAAGAATAGTAGTTATGAAACTAGAAAGTTGAGTTTGATAAGTTGTCTTTAGGGCTAACCATCCCTTGCTTCTTTTGAATTTTTTGTTTTATATGTCTTGAGGTAGAAGGTAACCACCCACTCCCACTTGTGCAGAACATGGCATATCTTCATAGGGTAGTTAGACAACTCAACAACAAACCTAGTCAAAACAACCTTCAAAACTCACCATATGTCTGCTACCTCACCTGCTAGTTGAACTTGGCCTGCAACTTCTCCTAAAATTTAGCCATAATCTCCACTAATGTTAAATATCACCAAAAAAAAAAAAAAAAGGAGATAACTGTAGAAAACACTAGATTTGGTTGAACATGTGGCACCATCAACAAAGTCTATCATGCTCCAAATCACAACATCATCAAGTCTAACATAGCTTCATCATAGCCACTCATTCAAACAATATGACATGTGGCAACATCAAATAAATTTGCAATTTATGGTGCATTAGTTTGTCCATTGAAAACTGTCCCAAAGGTTGTTTGGCCTGATTTAAATTCCAACTTATGTATTTTCTTACCTCTCAAAGTTATCCTTTTTTTATAGAGAAATATCAAAATTTTATTTCTTAATTTTTAATTTATCATAGAGTTATTTGAATTGGATAAATGTGGTTCAAATCAATACTTTTTCAAATATCCTAATCTTTATGTGCGATCACTTTGATTCAATTTTTTAGTGTTTTGAATCCAAATTCTGAAACTATTTTAAAAATTCTTCACTATTCAAGAGATTGACTAGTGAACTCAACATTGACTCTACTTGCAAACTTGATCGATTACTTAAATTTAATTTAAAATTTTATATATTTAATAATTATTTTTTAATTCAATTGAATTGCGCTAAGCCAAAGTTTCGAGTTTGACTCAACTTGATATTTTTAATTCAATTTTGAACTCGAACTCAAACTCCTCAAACTTAATAGACTCAATTAGTTAAACTCATTTATAAATTATAACCCTAACTATTAGAGTAGAAAATTAATAATTTATTAGTTCAAATAGAAGAAATTTGATTTTTTAAAAATAAAATATTGAGTTTGAATTTTATAAATGAAAGATAAGTGTTAAAAGAGATTTTTTTTTTAGAGTTTAGTTTGATTTGATTTTAGATTAATTGAGATTGTATGGAGCTTTTAAATGAGGAGGTTTAGTAGAAAAAAAAAAGAAATTAGAGCAGAGAGGGAAAATAGCAAAAGGCGAAATGCTGTAGGCGCTGCCGTGTAAGCTAAGATAACCCAAAGGGTATTTCAGCAAATTCCGTTCCATGATCTGAACCCCACGGCCCACGCGGTAGTGGAGAATCTGCATCTTTACCACTTTCACACTATTTTTTCATCCCTAAATTTTCTGTCACAGGACACTAATGATGTGGAGGATTAGGATAGAGAATCTCCATCTTTTACCGGTTTCACACTATCTTTTCATTTTTAATTTTTCTGATACAGAGAATTATTTTTGTAATTTAATGATATTTTTTTATTAAAAATAAAAAATTTTAAATTTGACTCGTATAATATACAAATTGAATAAGGTAAGAGATATTAGAAGGTCGTTGACATAAATTTTTTTTTTTCTGTCACGGGACATTATGATGGGAATGATAGAGAATCTCCATCTTCCCATTTCCAGTTGGAGGGTCCATTATGGATGCTTAATTTCCATGTTAGCGACGCCGTTAGTATCTAACGTCCCATGCTGAACGGAAGGACTATGACTTAGGGTCTATTTAGTACATTTAATATAGTGATTTGGCGAAAATAGTTAAAAATTTTACTTAAATTGTTAAAAATAAATATTTAGTAAATTTATATGTTTTTAATTTATTATAAATAAAGCATTCGATAAAAAATTTTATTTAACCATTTCAAATTAAGGGATAAAAGTTAGGATATAAACAGTTAAGAACGAATAACTGCTTGTGGATTAGAAAATCACTAGTAAATTGAAAAAAATTATTTTAAGTAATTTTTTATATTAAATTATTAAAATATTAAAATTTTTTAATTTTAT